AATTTCCTAAAATATTAAAAAATAAAAAAATATATTCTTATTTTATTTACTTGTCTCATAAAAGTTCTAACATCTACCAAAGTATTATATTGAGTGTATTGCCGTTTAGTTTCATGATGTTTAGTAACCACTTTGAAATTAAAAAAAAAAGTTAAATTTAAAACGGTATTTGTTAAATTTAATTAAGAGATCCAATTTTTAAAATAAATATTCGTTAAGTAAAGAATTTTGCCCTTTTTTTATTGTCAATAACCAGAGACGAGTGCATGGACCAAAATTTAAAAATGTGAAAAGAAATATGTAAAAAAATGTAAAAATAAACCAATTATTCAAAAATAAACCAAAAATTCCGAAATTTAAAAAATACAAAATTTTTACTTTGATTGCACAATTCAACAAATCTTCTTTGATATTGTGCCATTTCTGCTTGTGAAGGTTTTGCTCCTACTTGACGTGCCAACTTTGCAATTTCTTTATTTAAAGAAGCAATTTCTAAATAAAGTATTTCTCCCTTCTTTTCTTTTAAATTTTTTCCATTTTTATTTTCTTCATTTAAAGATTCTTCATTATTTCCTTCAATTTCTTCTATTTTTTGTTCCAATTTAGTCAATTCTTCTCTACATTGAAATTTAAAAGAACGTTCAACTGCCTTTAATTCATCTCTTTCAGACAATAAAGTTTTCATTTCTTCAAATATTCTAAAATTTAAAATATTTTTTTATTTAAATTAACTAAATACTCTTTTGGTTTTGATTGAATTTCTTTGGAAATATTTTGTTCTTCTATTATTTTTAATTCATTTTGTAATTTAACTACAAGCATTTCAGCTGCCTCTATTTGAGTATTTACACAATTCTCTTCAAGTTCCAACTTGAAAAAAGAAATTATTTAAATTTATCTTTTTTAAGAAAAGAAAAAACTCTAAATTCCCAAAATCAAAAAACAATGAGAAAAATTTTAAACGAAAATTAATTTTTCTTAAAATTTTCAAAACCTTTTTAAATTCTTCCTCTAAATCATCTTTTGTTTCTTCTCTCATATCTTTCTGATATTTCTTGTCTATCATTTGTTCCCCTCTTTCGCTCAAATAAATTAATCCACTTTTCTCATCATTTTCTTGAATTATCAACAAATCCTCCTCTTCCAATTCTTTATTTAGTTGTTCATCTTCACTAAAATTTTTAGAAATATCTGAATCTAATTTCGTCTTTAAATTTGTTTCTGTTGGATATTGCATTCGAATAACTCTTCTAAAAATTTTTAAATAGAAAATAAAGAAAAATAATTAAAATACCTATAAACTTTCCGAGATTTTTTAACCAAAGGCAAAACACCTGAACCACAAATTTCATTCTAAAAAATTTAAAAAAACTCTTTATTAAATAATGAAAAAACCAATTCATCTCCCAATGTCCATCCTTGTTGCTCAAATTGATAAACAGCAAAATTTAAAGTTTCATCACCTAGCCTTTCCCGAACATAACCAGCTTCCTTTACAAGCCACTAAAATTAAAATTTAGTTAAAAAAAATTTTTCTTAAAATTTATTTACCACAATAACTGGATGAATATGAAAAGCATCTAATCCTTGAATTTGGTGAGGTTCTAAAGAATAAGGACATTTAATTTCTGGAAGAACTTTCACTATCTTCTCAGTCAAAGTACTAAAAATAGAAAAAGAAATTAAAGAATAAAAAGAAGGTATTCACATTTTTTGGCCAATAGTTGAATTTTCTGAATAAAGTAAATCAACTTCAACATTTCCAGCACAAAGTGAAATACACCAAACCATTCCTCCAATAATCTTTAAATTAAAAAAGAATTAGGTATTTAACAAAATAAAATCTTGCCTTATCAAAAATATCTAGTCCCTGAATTTTTGCACGAAAATAACCGGCATTAATAAGTAATTGAAGAATTTCTACAAGCTTTTCTTTTTGTTCAGGATCAATTACCTTCCCATCCATCTGTTATTAGGAAAAAGTTCAAAAGTTGTAGTTCATAAAAAATATTTTTTTTCTTACATATAAGAAAATTTAAAAGTTACCAAGACTCAAAAAGTTTGAAAACATGCGACCCAAATGACACGGGTAAGCCCAAGTAGGCGCGAGGCCATAACGGCGCAAAGCAATAACTTGCTTCAAGATTTCAGAATCTTACCAAATTTTGTTAGTATTAAACGATTCCTCTCATCGAGCTAAAGAGTTTGGTACTGTTGATAAGGGCCAGAAAATCTTTCAGCAAGTTATGGCTTTGCGCCGTTATGGCCGCGCGCCTACTTGGGCGTGTCCATAGTGACACGACTCATTTGTCGCAACAATTGAGTCGTGTCGCATTTTAACGTGTTGCAAAACAGTTCATGATTTCATTGCTCCATGGATTATGTTATTGTTTGATGACCGTCTCAAATAATTAATTTACAGCTAGATTTTTTTTGACAAATGTCATTCGATAATCACTTTCGCGATCAACAAGATTTGGTTCGTTGGATTGAAAATAAACTTGGCTCTAACGAGTTATGGGGAGGAAAACAGGCTTCTTTTGTGTTAACGCGAGATATTCTTATTGAATTAGAGACATGCTTTCAAGTAAATTTTCTAAAAAGTTTTTAAAATTATTTTCCTCTATTTCAGGAATTGGAGCCCCATATAAAATTGAAGATTATCCAAGCTATGGTTCATATTTCGCCAAAGACTTTACAAGCGGTTTTTTTTAATTTTTCGAATATAATTAATTCATTTTTAGTGGAAAGAACCACTTTTTAATTTGCTGGAAGTGGCTAGGCGAGATCCCGATGATTGGGTTAGTCTGTTTGAAAATTTTTATTTTTAAAAAACTTTTTAGGTGGAGACTGTTGCAGACATTTTTCGTAATTTCCCAGACGAAGGTCTAATCCAATGTTCTTCAAAGACTGATTCTTTTTTTAATCGAACACAATTAGAACTTGAGAGAATTGGTTTAATTTTTAAAAATAATTTTTATATTTTTAACTTCATTTTAGTAACAGAAAAAGTTTGTTCAAATACTAATGATTTTATTGTGAAATTGCCTCCAGATTTGGAATTGATTCCTGAATCATTGCTTAAATCGGTAATTTTTGTCTTTAAATTTTTTATATCGTTATGTAAGGAAACATCTGAAAAAAACAAAATTATAAAACACTTTGAACATAGAGAGAGGACAACAATAACAAAATCTGCAAAATTATTGGAAGATGTGAAGAAATGTATAAATTGTTTTTATTTATATATATTTTTTTTTAATTTTTTAGCTGCCGAACAGCAACATAATCCATCAAGCAAAAAGAATCATGGACTTATTTCTTCATTTCCTATTAAAATTAGGAGTACTGCTAAACGTTTGGACAATTCTTGTAAGGGTGTTTTTATATTTAAAAATCATTTTTATTTTTTAGTGCCAATGAAAGGGATTCCCTCAACTGCGAGTGCGTTAAAAATGTCTGGAGGTTTTACAAATGAATCAAAGAAATACCATCAACGAACACTTTTAAAAAGGACCGGTGGAGCAATGCTTTTGGACATTGACGAATTACCTAAACAAAGTAGAAGAAGACGAAATATTGAAACAATAACTTTGGTTACTATTTTTAATTTTGAAGTAAAAAGTTTCGATTTTTTTCTAGAAAAAAGAGGAACAGAAAGAGCAATCTCCTAATAAAAATTCGCTGATTAAAAATAAAAGTGAACAAAATGACCAAAATGCCAACGGTTCCTTGAATGTAGAGACTGGGGACTCAACACCTGTACAGGCTTCTTTAGCATCAGAATCTAGTAAATATTTTTTATTAAAATGAAACCAGTTTTCTGTAAATACGAATTTAGGGGTTTCCCCGAACTCTAGGTAATTGTAGGAATTATATTATGAATTTTTAACCCGTTATCCAATGAGATATAAACAGAAATTTAGCGTCGAAAACAGAACCCGGTCAAACGTCTTTCAAAATTTTAAATAATATTATAATATTTCTAATATTCAGTATCGGAAAATCCGCAGCAAATGACTTCATCTTTATTGGACAACAGTCAAAATTTAGACAGTCTTCAACTTTCAGCAAATACAAATTTAATGTTTCCACCAATCTCAATGCCGACAATGTTACCAATTCCACCGGCAATTAATATGGATCAAAATGCCATTTTATCTTCTGCTGGAAGTAGCTCAACATCTCAAAATCAACATCTCATTTACCCGCAACCAATAGGACAAATGATGGTTGCAAATCCTTTTGAGAATATTGTTTTTCTAATTTTTTAAAATAATCTTAATTTTTACTTTTAGCCAACCACGAATTTGGCCGCGCTCCAACAGTTTGAGAGTATGTTAAAAGATGCAAATAAACTTACGCTGTCCAGCTATAATTTAATTATTTCCTTCCTTATCGGGAATAAACGTTTGTATAAAATATTAAAATTAAATTAAAAAATATTTTTTTGTTTTTAGATAATCCTTTTGAAAAAGATATTGGACCGTTAATTACGCTTCCATTCTCAGAAACTGTTGAATTTGAACCATTAGCCAGTGGAGTAGGCGTAGAAGCAATTCTTGTTGAAACTTTCTTTCAAATGGATTATCGAACAGGTGAATGGAAAAGGCTAAAAAATTCTCGAGCACTCAAACCAGAAGAATTAAATCAGAGGAAAGATCAACTTTTTGGTGTTAATAAACAATTTGTGAGTAGTAAAAGTTTTTTTTAACAATTTAATATTCTTTTAGAATGAACAGACTCTTATAAATGGCCAGTGTGATAATTTACAACAAATGCCAATGTTTTTTCAACCAAACTCTCAATAATTCATTGTATTGTACAGGGATTTTTATTTATAAATTATACATATGTTTCCTTATTCCTACATCTCCCCTCGCTTATATTAGAAGGATCTTATTTAAAATTCATCAAAGATAACCAAAAAATTTATATTCTTCTTGAAAATTCGGCATTTTTAAAGTTAGAATATTTGTAAATGTTTTAAATATTTATAAAAGAAATCCTTGAAGTGTCAGTAACAAAATCACCGGAAATTGAGTAAATTTAAAAAGAATCACAGATTTGCAAAAAATTAAAAGATATGACAAAATTGAAAATATTAAAGGTATTTGTCGATTACCTCCTCGCATTTTCTTTCTTTTTTGATGTATAAATATTATAATAGCCCATTTAAAAAGGTTTTTCGTGTTAAATGCTAAATAAAAACAGAATCATAACATGCATATCGGTTAAAACAGGTGGTCATTTGTCCAATTAGGTCTGCTTTCGTTCATTCAATTTACTCGACAAGCTGTTTCGAATGAGCTATCGAAGAAAAATGAAAGGAAAAAAAGTAAATGCGAGGAAGATGACCGCAAGTATAATTTATAATTCCCATTTGCTAATCATCTAGTGATGTATCAATCACCCTGAAATACTGACCCAAATGGAAAGGCGAAATTGGAAGTGGTTTAGTCAGGAAAATGTTACCTTCATCATCCGGCAAGGGTAAAGAGTTGCAAGATTGATAAATTGTTCCTTAAAAATAAAAAATATTTCTGGATTATTTAACTTTATCAAACCATTTCCAAAATTTTGAGGTTTTGTTGTTGACCATGAAAGTGTGTCAGTTTCATCATGATAAACTGGCCCAACTGGGTGTCGTCTTAAACTTCGCACGATGGGGAATGTATGCCCTTCTGTTGAAAATAACAATTTTTCGTAATGCCAATTTAGAGGGTTGCTAACGTCGAATAGCTATAAAAGTCTAGTAAAGTTTAAATAATTTATAAATACCAGATAGAGGTATTTGCATGTTTCTGATAAGAAAAATGATTCCATTCGATCCTCAAGTGATTTGTCCAAAACGTTGTGGACTGTTGCAAAACCACATCTGGAAAAAAAATCAAATTTCCGAATTATTTCCATTCTCACCCAAAACGAGTGTGTAGATTTAAAGAGTCGACAATTTGCATTCCAACACGTTGATAAAAAGGACTTTTAGTTGCCAAAAAGAGTAAATATGTTGATTCAACAAATTCCGGTCTTAACGGATAAAAATTAACATCTGGTGTTTTTGAATGCCAATTAAAGCGTTCGGGAATCATTTCATATTTCTGCCAGATTGCATAATAAACCGCGTGGGAACATATTGCCTCATCTAAATCACCATCCAATACTTGAACGCCAGCAAAACTTGCCTGGAAAAAGATAGAAATAAAAAATAATTCTTAAAAATAGAATACACTTGTAGAGCGTCCAACCAAGTATTGATAATACTTCCATCACGCATATCAACATTAGGATATAATGGTGGATTTCCATCTCCTTTAGAAAATATAGGCTCTTACTTTTTATAAAAAAATTTTCTAACCAAATCTGCATTTTGGCCGTCCTCGTCTAATTTGTTCTCTTATACTTTTTCTCATTCCAATAAACATTTCCAATTCACGAGTTTCCCCAAAGAGAATATGTGCCTTCAATAAATATTCAAAAAATGAATCAAATCCCGCTCCCATTCCTGCCATAAAACTTTTCCATTCACCAGTTTGGATATCAATAATATTACCTAAAAAGAAACTTTAAACACAAAAATTAATTTTTAAAATACCCATAAGTCCAGTTTCTTTATTTCTAAATTCCCACAAAATTTCATTGACTTTCCTCGCTTTTTCCTCAAATGTTGGATCATTTAATAACCTAGAGAGAACACCAAATTCTAACAATAAAGAGCCAGCACCAGCAGTACAAGTTTCATTCGAAGTACCAGGCAAAACACCATGAATTAAATTAACACGAGGATAAGGAAGTCCTGAAAAACAAAAAGTAATTTTATATAAAAAAATATAAACCTGTGCCAGTTCCATTAAAAGCAGGTAAAAGTCTTCCAGCAATATCGTGTGCCATTGTAAGCAATTCAGAATCATATTCAGGAAAAGTGAAATCGCCATGAAAAGGATTTTCATTGGTTAAGATCATGTGTGCAGAAAGGAGAGAGCCAATAACTCTGAAAATAAGAAAAATTAACTGCACCAGAAAAAAATTTTTTAGAGATTATAAAACCCCACAGACTATTTAACACCTTTTTTACCCAATTAAAGTATTCTTAACACAAATAAAAACATTTAAACAAACCTTATAGTTGCTTCAAACACTTGAACAGTAACATTTTTTTCAAAAGAAACAGTTTCAATTACAAGCTTAACAGCTTTATGAAAAGCATCTTTACTTCCAACAACAACCAATGTATTTAAAGAATCAATCTATAAAAAAATAATTAAATAAAAATAAATAAAAAAAACCAATGTCAAAGAGTAATCACCCAAAACATCATTAATATTTAAATTGTCAGGATTATTATAATCAGGCCCTCTTCCTGTACAATGAATTGGATCTAGTTCATCAAGTGGAAAAGCATGTCTGAAAAAATTTTAAAAATTATTTCTTAAAAGATTCAAACTTTAAATAATTATTGTAGCCAAAAAAGAACATTTCTTTAGCTTGTTCTTTAGCTATTTCTAATTCTTCTGGATCTATTGGAATAAATTTATCTGCAAAATTTGATGAAACAAAAGGAAATTTAAAATGTGATTTGCCATTTAATGTTAATAAAATTATTGTAATAAATAACCAAACAACCAATACATTTTTCTGTAAAAAAATTAAATATTTGTTAAATTAATTTTAAATAAAAATACCATTAATAGAAGGAGAGCAATGATTAAAATTCTGAAATTTTTTAAAAATTTTTAAAATTTAAAAAAAGAAAACGAGAAAAGAGTGTGGTGGCATGTGAAAGAGGGGAAAATTAAATATTTAAAAATAAAAACAAAACGCCAACAAAAATTTTTTTAAAGATTTGTCATACGAACAACCAATACATTTTTCTGTAAAAAAATTAAATATTGTGCTAAAAAAAGCTAAAAAAAGCAAGCGAATGATTAAAATTTTCGTCAGTTGTCTAAATTTTAAAATTGCGAAATCTTCTAGCTAATTATAGGATATTTTAGGGGCTAATTGAGTACAAAATTTTGTTTTAAATTAGGATTTTAAATAAAGAAATTATTTTAATTTTTTAAAGTCCTACTGTATTTTCTGTCTTAAATTTATGAGTAACCCTCTCTCTCTCACTCTATATGACGGTATGAATTATGTAAATAATTAATTTTCTTTAATGATTTTATATTTTTCTTGTAACACTTAATTTTTAAAAATATAAATTTTTAATTTGCAACCTAATCTAAAGGTTACAAACCTAATCTAAAGTAACTAACTTAATTGACTGATGGATGAGTAAAATTTAAAAGAAAGTGTGTGATAAATAGAAAAGGGTTATTAAAAATGTAAGAAGGGATGAGCAGTTCTCACTGCAAGGTAAAAATCGTATTTTTTCTTCACATCATGACGTATACGTACATATTAAATGGCGATAAGACCACAACCAAACAGCCACTTAATATTCTCTCTTTAGGCAGTAAAAGCATGCACAAGGCTAAAATTCAGGGTAGATAGGGAATGGTTTAGTGACTCTTCGCTTTTTCTTCTTCTTCTTCTTCGGTTTCCATTCGCCCCGTTCCTTGCAATTCATCACTACCCAATCAATTCCATCTTCCCATCAACATCGTAATGTGTTGGCGTTTGTTGTTTTCCCTTAAAAACGAAGGAGGGGGTATTAGAGGCTAAGGATTTAATTTTAAGGTGATTAACTATAAGAAACAAAAATAAATATGTATAAATTAAATGAAAAATCTTGTCGTTATTTTAAATACTTTTTTATTCTGTTTTCTTTAACTTTTCTCGAAAATTCTCTCCTTTGTTTACAGTAATTTTGTCCTTTTAGACTCTACCTTAACCTAAAGGCTCTTTAAATTCACATTTTTTTTTATTTCTTTCTTCTCCTTTTTTTAACTCTTTCTCTCTAAAAATATATTTATTATTATTCATTTCCCCCCATCACTATTGAATCGTCAACGACAACTACGCGAATGACTGCTATTAGTAACATAACAATCTACTACTATTTATTTATTCACTGCCAGCGACGACCGTCCCGTCGTATCGATGCGTTGTTATCGTCCACTGTTGTTGTCCTTTTTCCTCGCTCACTGTTGAGCATTTCTGGCGTTTCCCAAATTCCAATCCCTTTCTGCTACCTCATTCCAAGCATTCCATTCCCTTCCTCCCTCCAAAATTTCCCCGAAAATATCCCTCAAATTTTGCAAAAAATAAAACATAGGTTAATTGATTAATTTATTTTAAAAAATTGGATAATTAAAATGAAAATAAAAAATTTTTACAAAAAAATGATTACAAAAAATTATCAACTCTTTAATAAAGTGGGATTGAAAGGTATTTGAAAAAAGATAACTTAAAAACCGATTTATGATTAAAATTTAAATTTAAAATTTATATTCGGACTTATGTACATAGGTATTTAATTTTTTACGGCAAAAAATGGTTATCCACATAGTGTAAACTAAAGAATATGTAGACCAAACTTACGCTTTTAAATATTTAAATTGATAATTTGCGTAATTTTTCATTTTAAAAGCTTTTTTTTTATTTTGTAAATTTAAATAAAACTTTGGTTAAGTTTTAGATTCATAAATACACATCTTTCTGTTTAAGTTAAGGATATCTTTCCACATATTTTTTACGTTCAAAGGATTAAGTTACATATAATTTATTAAAAAAATTAAATAGTTATACTTATATTATGCCAAAATCGTCATATCTCCTTATAATATTTAAATATAAAATTTTTTATTTTTTTTATTAATTAAATTATTTAATTGTTTTTCTATACATATCATCATTTTATTTAATATTTTAAAAAATTACTTTAATAGCTTAAATGATTGTGAGGGAAATAATTAATGTAATAATAATTATTATTTAATTTAATTTTAATTCAATTAATTTACTACTTCTACTATTTTATTACGGTGGTTAATTTTTAAATGAATTTTAGTAATGAAGAAACAAATGAGGAGGAGACTAAACAAAGAATGTATGTTATTTTTATTTGTTTTTTTTATTAAATAAAATTTATTTTTGTAAAATAAATTATTTTAAATATAAATTTTATTAAAATATTACTAAATATTTGGTTATCATCTTTTCCATTTTTTCTCTCATTCATAATATTTTAAAAGATTACTTTAAAGATTAACTGTTAATAATCATAGATATGATTGATAGAGATAGAGTTACTTTTTCGGGTCGATCTTTCAAGTCAAGTGATAGCACTAAAATGTTACTAGTGCATTTAATATACATAATTAGGGATCAGCAATATAAAAGGCAATAAATATTCAGTATCAATATGGTACAAACCAAGGATGGGGGAAAGGAAAATAAAATGGGAATGGATATGTAGGTAACCCGAAAGTACCGTAAATTAATTCTTTCCCTTGTTTTCTCCCAAAAACAAACTAAAAATTAATTTAAAAAAGGTTATCATTGGATTATGGAAGCGCAGCAACAGCAGCTAATGTCTGGTTACATCATTCAGCATCTGCTGGACATATTCCCCCTTGCAATAATAATATTGAAGCAATGGATAATTCAATTCCACTCAATTCATCTCCATTAAGTACTTCATCAAATGGAAATGCTGCAGAAATGCGTTCATCAAATGATGGGGATGCTGAAGGTGTTTGGAGTCCAGACATTGATCAAGCATTTCATGAAGCTTTACAAGTAAATAAATATATATATATTTAAATATATGTATATATTTAAATAAAAGATATACCCTCAATGTGGAAGGCGTAAAATAATTCTCAGTGATGAAGGCAAAATGTATGGACGTAATGAATTAATTGCACGTTATATTAAATTAAGATGTGGAAAATCAAGAAGTTTTCTTTTTGAAAAATAAATTTAAAAATTTATTTATTTTCATTAGCTCGAAAACAAGTTTCTTCTCATATTCAAGTACTTGCAAGGAAAAAACAGCGAGAAGAACATTCAAGAATAAAGGTAATCAAATAATTTTTGGATTTCCTCACAAAAATTATCAAAAATTATAAGTATAATTTTTAAAGACCCAACGTGATAATACTTTACCCGAAACAAACGCAAATTCCTCTTCTGCCTCAACAACCTCATCAGTTTCTAATAATCACACAACTGCCTCTGTTTCTGCTACAATATTGCCTTCCTCAAATAACAGGTTTTTTAAACAAAAAATAATTTTTTTTAAATTATATTTTTCAAGCCTTCAACAACAAAAACAAATTAAAAAGGCAGAATCTGAAGATTTAATAATTGGACATTCATTGCCTTCTAATTCATTAAATATACTACCTTCTTCACCAAATAATCAAATACAAAATATTTCTTTAGCCGTTGCTGCCTCACAACAACCACTTGCCAATTTAATTACCTCGATTAATAGGTAGAATTTTCAAAAGGAAAAAATATTTTTATTTTAAATATTTTTAGGGATCAGATCGCCTCTGTACAAGCACAAGTTGCTAGAGCAGCTTCAGCAATTTCTCAACAAAATTGGCCTTCTTTAATTGTTACTAACAATAATAATAACCAACATTTAATGGCTGGAGCACAACTTTATATGGCTGCGTAAGTAAAAAAGTCTTAGAGAAAAAATTGTCTTTAAAGAATATTTTTTAATTAAATTTTAAAAAGTATTTTAGGGTTATCCTTCCCTATTTTCCCTTTCTTTGAAGGGAAAGAAGAGAATAGAGACCAAAACAATTTTCAATCACAAAAGTCAAAAAAAAACATTTTTTAGTTCCTCAAATCCATGTTCGAGTGTTGTTGCCTCAATCCCCGCTGCATTTGTTTCTAATGGTAATTGTCAATTAAACACAAATTCTTCATCATCAGAACAAATAATATTTACAACAACCCCCTCCTCAGCCTTTACATGTGCAACAACAATAAACACTAAAATGACTACAATAGCATCTCCCAATTTAATTTTAAATGGATTTACAGCTTATATTGAAGAACAACAAAATTTAATAAAAAATAGAGAAAGAAGAGAGGAAATGATGGAAGAAGAAAGTATTGGACAACAAAGAATTGAATTAGTGCATATTCCCAAAAATTCTGAAACTCCTTTTGAAAGAATTAGTTTAGAATTAATTCAATCAAAATATCCACCAATTTTACAAGAGCTTTTTAAACGTGGACCTTCAGATGCTTTTTTTCTTGCAAAATGTTGGGCAAATATGAATTTTGAAATAAATGATGAACAAAATGCTTTATTTGCTGTAGATTCTTATTATGAATCGAATTTTGGAAGATTTGATATTATTGGTAATAAATAAGGGAAAAATAAAAAATAATAATATTTTTTTAAAGTTTCAACAAAAGTTTGTAGTTTTGGAAATGAAGTTGTTGAGAAAGTTGAGGTAAAAAAAGGAAAAAAATTATTTATATTTATGATTTTTAACAGATTTATTCACCAATTGAAGAAGATGAGGATATTAAACCTTCTTCACAACTTTGGCATTTTCGATTAGAAAAATCCCCAATGTGTGAATATATGGTACTTAAAAATTTATTTTTTAAAATTTCTCTTTTTTTTCATTAAAGGTCAGATTTATATCAGAATTAAAAAAGCTGCAAGAGCCGTCTTTAATGAATAGTGTTTTGGAGAATTTTACAAGTAAAATTAAAAAATAAACTTAATTTTTTATTTAAAATTTTAGTTTTACAAATTGTTTCAAATAAACAAAGTGAAGAAACTTTAATGGTTATTGCTTTTATATTTGAAGTTCGTGAAGATGGGGAAGATGAAATTTACACAAATATTTATCGTTTAACAGAATAAAAGCCAAAAAGTGAATTAAAAAATAAATAAATGTGCCAACACCCTTAAAAATAATTATTGTGAATTAATATTAATTTAAAGTGCCATTTTAATAAAAATCAACTAATTAATTTTTATAAAATTATTAAAACGCTTTTTACGCGTTGTAAAATAAATATTTTTTTATTATCTCTCAAGTAATCTTAGAAAATATTTTTTTAAAGAAAAAAAGCCTTGATTGATTTTAGCTTAAATAAAAAAATACAAACACGTGCTTAGTTATTAAACTAAAAATGTTTAATGTTTGCTTAAAAATCAAAAAAAAATTTTTAATCCATAGAAAGCAAAATAAAAAAGGGAAAATATTCTTCAAAATATTTTATTTAAATTAAAATATTGGTAAATTGCAAATAATTGAAAATAAATTAATTCATGGCCAATTTGGGGATAAAACTTGGAAATCAAATAAATTTTTTTTTAATTCGGGAGACCATGATTTAATTATTTTATTACAAAAATAACAAAAATTTTCCGGCATTTAAAGGCAATAAAAAAATTGAAAAAAATCAAAAATTTAAAATAAAAGCATTCAAGTTTTTGGTCTATTCCTTCCTAATAATTTATTAATTTTCATTCGTATTTTGTACTCCATCAGGAGTAATTATTTTTAAATTTACTTTTTCCTCTTCAATTTTAACTCCAACTTCCAATTCTTTTCCTAAAATTTATAAAAATAAATTTTAAACTTAAAATCCTTTTTTACCTGAATCTGCATTCAACAAAACATTTTCCATTTCCATTCGTCGAAGTTTTGGACGGAATAATAAAAGTAAAATTAAAACGATAAAAGCGGCTATCATTGACATAACCTAAAAATTAAATTAAACAAAATTAAACCTTAAATTATCTAAAGAAACTAACAATAACTGAAAGAGTAAAATCCATCGGTTCAACAGTCTGTTCATTGTCAGCTACATTAATTGAAATATTTCCATGTCCACAAGTAGGTGGAATAGAAGATAAATGATCGTGCTCTGCCACTTTAAGTAAAGTACACACCTTAAAAAATATTTTCTAAAATTTTTCGTAAACTTTCTTAAGAAATTAAAAACTAGTTTATTTTCAAAAATTATCTATATTTTAATTTCTCTAATTCAAACCTCATATTTTCGATATAATGATTGTAATGGTGTAGCCAATGTTTTCATAACAGATAAATAAATAATTGTCTGAATTTGTCCACTTAACACAACTAGACCTGTTGATGTTGTTTCCGAGACTGGATAAGTACATTCTGCCGAAAGTTGTAATCCAACTGGATACGCAGCTAACCCGAAGACACCAAAAATGAAACAGGCCAAAAGAATCCAAATATCCATTTCACGATGAAGTATTAACTAAAAAATAAATTAAAAAAATAAAAACTAAGAAAATATAAAACCTGAAGAAATACAAGTCCAAATCCAACAGCTACAGCCATAGAAACTTTCATTGTTTCAACATAAAGTTTTGTTCTATCAACAACAAAACCTTTTAATTGTACAAAAATATTAAATTTAAAAAAATTTAAAAATACTTGCTCCAGTTGCACCAACAACTCCTCCAGTAATTAATAAAGCAGAAGTAAAACCACTAAATTGATTTGAATAACCTGATGGACACAAAAGCTGTTGCATTAAAGTATATAAGGCATTAAACATTCCAATACCTAAGAAGTTTTTCATAAAGAATTTAAAAATAAACCTCCTCCCATAACCAAAAGAAGAACCAAATATTGTTTACTTGTAAAACATTTTTTAATTCCTTCAATAAATGGATAACTTGGTTTACTGGCACTTAATGTTGGCGGAATTTTTGGTTCGGAACTCTAAAAAATCAAATAAAAATTCACGAACTGTGAATATATTTGGATAAAAATTTGTTGAAGAATTCTCACATTTTTTAAGTTTAAAACAAAAATTAATCAATTTACCGTAATTGCCACAGAAGCAACAACCGTTAAAATGATGCTGGGAACAGAAAAAAGTATATTTAAAATTTTGACCTAAAATAAATTATTTTAAGAAAAAATAAAAAAAATAAAAAACATGTTCACAACTTCCAACAATCATCGGACTAATTAAATTTGCCAAGAGAACACCTAGAGGATTTGACATAACCTTAAAAAAATATTTTTTTCAAAAATAAATTTAATAAATAAATACCCCAATCGTAGTTGCCAAAGTACGTTGGTTATCGGGAAACCAAGCTGCCGCGACCTATTAAATAAAAATAAAAAATATTTAAATAAAAATATACTTTAGTCGGTAAAAACATAATAAAAGGATAGGCTAGGGCTGCAATAGCTTGGCCGGAAATTCCAACAGGAAATCGAAAACCAGGCATATCATCTGGGAAGAATGAACTGAAAAGACAAAATTTAATTTTAAAAAATTCCTTAAAAAACCTTGCTAAACGAATAAATGCCCCAATTCCATTTGCCCAAGCAGCAATTAAAATTGAATATCTCAGACATAAAAAAGCACCAAATATTATTAAAAATAATTTTAAAAAACCAAAATATCCGCCTGCCCACATTGCAAAAATTCCAATCGGAATCGTTACAAAAATATAAACAGCAGAAAAATATATTGTTGAATTACGTCCATAAAAGGTGTCAACATGATTAGAAATTGGTGAAAAAGCAATCCAGAGCATTGTATTTATATTATTTAATAAGGCTACCACAAACAAAACGATCCATCGACGACGATAAGCTCTGAAATAATTTAAGGGGTTTTTAATTTGGAGAAAAAATTCCCCTAAAAATTATTTTAAATAATTTACTAAAAAGGGGAATTGATAAAAATTAAAGAAAAATCCAAACTTTAAACTAATTCGCTGTTCAGCTGGATCTTTTTCGCAGCACTCTCCTAATGAATTTACTGCCTTTACTGGATCAATTATCTATTAACAAAAATAATTTTAAAATAATTTTATTAAAATACCTGAACTTGTTTTTGTGGCAAAAGTTGTTTGTCTTCACCGCTATCTTTAAAAATAGCTACATCCTCTTTATGTTCATCTTTATCAGTTGCCATTTAATTTTAATTGACGTTTAAAAATAAATAAAGGTAAATATAAATTAAATAAAATCGGTAAATAAAGTAAAATTAGAAAAAGAAACAAATACTCAAAGTTATATGTAAATGATCCAGACTCTAATTGTATAATTATCCAAAAAGGTGATACGACAATTGCACAGTGGACAATTGTATAATGGACAATCGTACTGTGAGACAATTGTACCGTGGGACAATTGTACAATGAGGCAATTGTTTCATATAGCGTTTATTTCAATAGCAATTGTTTCATATTCTTTCATATAGCGGGACAATTGTACAGTGATCAGAGCTTTTTAAAAAGAAATTTAATGTTCCTGTTACAGGTCTAGGCCACGAGTATCTTAATTATGGTACGGGCGTTGACGCATAGATAAGAATTTGGATAGTGAATGAAAATTTACGCAATAGGATAGCTCTTTTTCCAACTCCGGTCCACGCCCAAAATTCTTACATATATTCTATTTATCTTTAGTTATGGATCTTACCTAGCTGAACGGCTTTAAAATGGTTTGTGTCGTACTAATAATAGCTTAGAGGCTTGGCACCGAGTTTGGTATAGTTTGCTTCATAGAAACCCTCGTATCAGCCAATTCATAAAAAGAATGTTAAAGGAATTCTTACGATGGGAAGAAATTGTAAGAAAGAACAATAATTCTCCGACTGATGGCATAAGTTATTGGATACTACATAAGTAGTTAATTAAGAATAATTATTTAGGGGTAAAGGTAGTCGTCGAAGAGCAATCTACAATCTTAATCAAGATGCAAACTTACAACATATTTTCTAGAGATGTGCGAGACCGAAATTTTTCCAAGACTCAAGACTCAAGACCCAAGACAAAATTTTTTCCAAGACCAAGACACAAGACCAAGACCAAAACTCCAAGACTCAAGACCAAAAATAATACAAAACTCGAGACAATTTTTAGGTCCCATAGGTCAAATTTTTGGTTTATTTTTTGTTATTTTGATACGATCACAGTCAACTTCAGCACAATTATCTATAATTTCGAAAAATTTATGCGAAATTCAAAGAATTTCGGGGAATTTATTCTGTGGAAAATCAATAAAATATATTATTTCAGAGGGTTTGGGTGGATTAACGGGATATTAGTGATATCAAAGGATTAAGAGGGATAGCCGTGGAATTTTTTGGGAATTATGATGCCGCGAAAATTTTGGGAATTATGAAAGCAAAGAAGCCAAAAATCTTCCTTTTCCTGCGCCGCAGGCAAAAATTTTGAGAATTTTGGAAGGCCGTAGGCCTTCCAAAATTCACATTTTCAGCGCCGCAGGCGAAAATTTTTTGAATTTTGGGACTCAAGAAGCCAGATTTCTTCCATTTTCTGCGCCGCAGGCGAAAATTTTGAGGATTTTGGATGGCCAAGCACTAGGTCCAAAAAGGCCAAAAAACCAAGACCAAAAAATAAAACCAAGACAAGACCAAGACAAACACCCCAAGACCAAGACCAAGACCGAAAAAAACCAAGAAAAGTCTTGGTTCCAAGACCAAGACCAAGAGTCTCGCACATCTCGAATATTTTCGCTGAATTCGAACAGAGATCACAGAACCCTCTCAATTATCTCAGAACAATTTCTTACCGATTAGCACAACATTAAATTTCTTTTTAAAAAGTTCTGAACACTGTACAATCCAAAACTGATAAACAATCTTCCCTTTTGCTCTACTCAATGTTGGACAACCTTCCCAGTCGTCGCAACAACTCCTCTTATTGTTGTAATAAAACATTCCCAGTTGTTTTCCTAAATGTTGCGATCTTGAATTAAACGTTTTTACATTGGTTAACAAGTCAAAATTTTATTAAAATTTTTATTTATCATTTTCATTTCTAAAGCTTTAATTGTGTACAAATGATTAATGCATTGAAATGTGATTATTAATTAGCTTAATTTTATTTAAAATTTAAAAAAGATATGGTAGCGAGAGGGAAAGAAACAATTAAATGTCTAAAAAAACCTTATTTTAGGGATATTTTGGGGGGATTGACATGAATTTAATCAGCAGTCACAAATGCTTAAAAGAAAAAAGGTAGAAATGAGTGGAAATTTGCGGCAAATATGTAGCTGAACGGCAGATTAAAATTGAGGAGTTGAACGAATAAAAAGTTTATTGAAGTTTATCAAAAAAAATTATTTAAAATTATTCTCGTATTTTATTTTCTTCAAATTTTCTCGCACTTCCAAAGTCATTGTTGATGTGGATCTCCATTCTGTGTTTGCTCTCCTCCACCCCAAAGTGCTGCCTGTGGCCAACACAACGGCATTGCAGCTGTTGATTCAGCTGAAGGATTACTTTCATGGTGTTTATTGAGCATTTGAGATGCTGCAGCCATAGCTGGATCAGTTTGCATCATTCCACCAGCATTACCCCCACTTCCTGACCATCTTAATAAAGATTGAAGATCCAAACCACTTGCTGATCCAATTTGTTGAAGTTGGTTTGAATAAGTTTCTTCGCCTTGCCTTCCAGCAGAAAGAATATCAGAACATTCTGACTAAATATTAAAATATTCTATACAAAAGTATTTGAAAAGCATTTTTACTTTAATCACTGGTCCAAAGGCCCCGTTTCCTTGATGTTGCTCGTAGAGTGCAGCATGATGGCTATCTTGCCCATAAAGTTGTGTCTGACCGCCAGCATTTGCCATAAAGTAAGGATTTGAAATCATTCCATAGGCAGAAAATGCAGCTTGATATGGATCCATCCCTGCATAAGGCGATGGTTGACCTCCCGGACTGTGTTGTCCGGACCATCCAATGGCATTGGGGTGATAAACCTTAAAAGGTTAAAATTTTAATCTTTTCTTTTAAAAATTCCATATTTTTTGCCGCTTACTATTTTTAATTTATTTAAAAATATTTTCGAATATTTATGAATTTTTAAAATAAAAATCCACAATTTTGAAACAATTTAAGCAACATTTTATCTAGTAAAAATATGCTCGCTTTCTTAAATTGTCTTTTAATATGGTGACAAAAATTTATTTACTACACATATTTAACCCTATACTTAAGCATTCCCCCATCTTTTATCGATGAATAATTTTGTTGTAAATGTGTGAACATCTGTGTAATTTTGTCGGTTAAAAAATAAGAGAAAAATTGAAAGAATTATTTTATGTTAATATTCATTATTTATTAAAAAAGTTGGTTTATTAAAAATATTTTTAGTTATAACCAAAATTGTGATTAGAACTTAAATTGGAACTTTTGAAAGTCTCTAGGCATGTTTATTATTTAATTAAAAATTGAAAGGTCATAAATTATAGGGAGTCTCTCAAAAATATTTTTTTCATTCCCTTACATTCTTTATCAGAATATATTATATTTTTTTTATTAAAAATTTATTTTACTGATTGGGGCAAGCATTTAAGTGCATCAAAAGCTGCAGCCATTAATACACTATCACCACCTCCCATTTGATTAGAAACTCCATTAATTAACATTGAAGATTGTTGTTGTTGTGTATTCTGTTGTTGTTGTGCGTGTTGTTGTCTTTGATGTGCACCTACTCCCTGATGAATTTGTAAAGCAGCTGCTGCCATAGCTGCTGCATGTTGACTTTTTTTAGATTGATTGTGTGATTGATGTTGTTGAATATGCTTAGCTTTACGACGTGGCCGATATTTGTAATCCTTTTAAAAAATTATTTTTATTTTGAAATACAAATAGTTTTTCCAGTGAGGAATTCAGGTTTTCCAATTGTGAACAAATTAAAATGAGGCTAAGTATTTTTAGGATATTTAATAATATTTTTTTATAATTTCTAGTTTTTTATTTAAATCTTATTATTAATAAATATTTACAGGATGGTCCTGCATATGTTCATTACGTAGTCGTTTTGCCTCATCAATAAATGGCCGTTTAGCTTCCTCTTCAAGACGTTTCCATTCTTCACCCAATCTTTTAGAGATCTCTGAGTTGTGCATTTTTGGATTTTCAATTGCCATTTTTTTACGTTGTCCTCTCGACCAAACCATAAAAGCGCTAATAAATTTACAAATAGATTTTAAGTGATTCTTTTATAAATTACTTCATTGGCCGTTTAACACGTTCATCTTGAATTCTCTCCCCTCCATTAGTTACTACTTTCTTTTGTTGTAAATGATTTTGTCTGTGTTGATGATTGTGAGGATGTCCTCCACCAATTGACATTTGCCCATTAAAATGGGAAATTCCAGCAGAAGAGGATCCACTAGCCGAAGAACTACCGGCAGGTGAAGCTAAGAAATGTGAGGAAATATTTTTATTAGAATTTCTTTTAAGATCAAGTTGTTGTTTTTGATGGTGGTTATCCTCATTTTCATTTGAAAGTGAAGAAAAGAAGGAAGTAATTGGTGCTGATGTAGATGAAGAAGCAGCAGATGAAGAACAACAACTTGTAGCATCTATAGTAGGAGTAAATTGTAGAGGATTACAACCAACTCCCGGCATTCCATTAAACATTGAATAACAATATTGTTGAGAATCCTTTGAAATTTTTTTATTATTTTTTAATTAAAATTAATTTAAAAAATTTTTAAAATTTGATATGTAGAATAAAGAAAACAGGCTTCATAATAGAAGAAATGTTTTTATTTAAAATATATTTTAATTTATGTATATTCTTAATTATTTAATTACTTGTTGTTGTTGATCTAAATTAGGATGACTCGAAATTGTCTGTTGTAATTGTTGTTGTTGATGAGTAATTGTTGCTTGTTCACAAACAATTTGCCTTTCTCCAGGTAAAGAAGAAGAAACATTTGAAGGGTCCAAAATTAAAGGAATATTAGTAGATTGGTGGTGATGAACAGAATTGGAGGTTGTTACTGAATCTGATTTTAAACAAATTTGTTCTGGATGTTCCAACATTGTCATCATTTCCGTAAAAAAGAGGAGTCAAAAAAGCAGGTAAAATTTTTATTTAAATTTTTTGTTTATCGATATTGAATTAAAAATAAATGTTGTTTTTTTGAAGGAAACACTAAAATTTAAAAATATATTAATTAATGTAAAATAAAGTTTTTTTTAATTAGGCAAGTATTTTAGTATAGATAATGAGAATTTTAAAAATTAAAAAAATTTGAATATTTATTAATTTTTTAGATTGAATTTTGATTATTGCTACAAGAGTTATCAGTTGAAAAATATTTGGACATCCAGGACTGAACCGAAAAATCTCTCTGTTCACCTATTCCATAATTATTCATTTTTAAGAGTTTTTGAATGTATTTTTTATAAAAATCTGTCAAAATCCAAATATTTTAACTTAATTATTGAATATATAAATTAAATCGATCATAAAAAATTTAACAAATTTTAAAATTTCCTTTATATATTCATGCAATTCGCAAATCTTTTGTTAAAATAAGCCTTTCCCCCCTTGCCCCCCTAAAAATATTTAACTAGTCTATTTATTTTCTTTTATTCAAAGCGAGTGAATGGAACCTCTTTTCTGATGCTATTCAAGAGAAGGAAGTTTTTTTGTTCTGTTTTGTTAATAATAAACAAAACAACAACAAAAAACGTTAAAAAAGAATTCAAAAAAGAAGACAATAAAAGAAGGGGAAAATAAATAAACAAAAAATCTTTAAAAAGGTGAAATGGTCAATAAATTAATTTTTAATAATTTAATTTAAAAAATCAAAAATTGTTTAAAAAAATAAATTTATTAAAAATCTGGTAAAAATAATAAAAAGATGAATTCCCCCTGTCGGGAAGGCGCAAGAAGAGTGGGGGGAGAAAGAAGAGAGAAAAAAATAAGGGAAGAAGAAAATAGGCGGAGAGTAAATATAGGGGAAACTAAAAACACCGTTTCTCCCCCCTTCCTTCCCCAAAAATATTTGGACGAATCGGATGAGGCGAAAAAAAGGAGGAAGTAAAGAGGAAAAGCGAGACTGGGGCGGGACAACAAGTACAAAAAATTGCCGTCAACACACAGCTGGATTGATATTTGTGATGATTATAATTCCTTCAATTCCTCTCTTATTTTTTTCTACACTGCCACAGGTTAAGGAGAGAAGGAAGCGAAGAAAGAAGATTTTTAAATAAAAATACCTTCTATTAATTTGCCTTAAAACAAACGTGAGAATTTGTTTTTAGAAAAAAATCTGTGCTTGGATAGAGCTTCTAGTTAAAAAGTTATTTTTGCTGGAAGCGGAAAGTTTTGGTCATTTCTTGGCTGGCCTAGGGAGATATTCTCATAAAAACAAACAATAACTTTTTTTAAATTTATTTTAGACAATATATGTATATAAAGGCGGGAAAACCCCTGTAAACTTAATTGAGAAGACAAAAGAAAATATTAAATGAGGACAAAAAAAAAGGGAAGAAAAAAAAGAAAAGTAAATAAGGGGAAATCCAGAAAAAATTCGGCAATAAAATAGTTTTAGTTTTTAGTTTAAAAACAATTAATAAATAATTAGATTATTAAAAAATATTTTTTGTTAGTATGTATAAAATATTGAGGGAAAATAAATAAATAAAAATATTTATGTGAATATACGCCTACACATTTATTTTTTATTTTTTACAATTCCTAGTAAATTTTTTGCTACTATAAAACAGAATTAGATACAAATTTACAATGTTTGTTATAATTTTAAAAATATAAATTTAAAATTCAAAAAAATTAAAAAAAACAATTTCTGTCAAAAAAATTACAAATTTGTAAGTCATAAAAAACCAGACAAGCAAGCAAAATACTTAATTTAGAAAATTGGTTTTGAGGAGGCTGACACCCAAGACAGAACTATTTCATTTCAATTAAATCATCCTTAATAAACATTATTTATTTAATTAAATATTAAAAAAAAAGTTTTTAGTAAAAAATTTAAAACAAAAAACATTAATTACTACAAAGATTAGAAAACTTTCAAGTCTCTTTATATATTTCAAAAAAAATTTTTTTTCAACTTTCCTTTGTTTCTGTTTATAGTGTTGCTTATTATGCGAATTTTGTCGTTAATAGAATTTCTTAAAATTAAATAATCACATGCTTATTTTAGTATTTTTATGTCATTTATTTTCTTAATTTGCGTGTTATTTTTATTTTAAACTTTATTTTTTTAAATTTATTTTTAATTACGCAACTAAATCTTTTCATTAAAATTAATCATTTTTTAGTTAAAAAAAAGAAAAATAAACAATAATATTTTAATTTACCCAAATAATTCACGTTAAAATAAATGCGTCAAAAATTAAAAATAAATATTTAAAATTATAACAAAGTTTCTATGTTTGTTTTTATTCTCTTACTAAGCTAAACATGTATAAAATTTTGTTTCCAATCAAAAAATCATAATCAAATGTGGAAACACCTAAACTACAAATTCTGTTTAAAATTTTTTGAATATAACTAGTTCCAGCTATTTATCTTTTATGTCACATCTTTATTATCTTCAATTTAAGGTGAGATGTCAACAAAAGATAGCTCACCTTAAGAAAAAGTAAATGATTAAATTCTTAGATTTAACTTGATCAAACAGCCATTTTGCCAAATTTAATTTTAATCAATCACTAGTTAATTAACCCTTACATGGATTTTCTGAAACTACCATTGTTCGACTCACAATCAGATCGTCGAGACACGTCAATGAGCCTTTTTGTTTATCTTGACCCCCCCCCCATTAAAGAGTAGGAAGGGTAATACAAAAGAGATACTTAATTTCAAAATAATCCAATGAGAATAAAAAAATATGAGAGAATTATTTAATTTTAATTATTTATTTTTGTCGGTATTTTTGTTTTAAAAAATAATTCAAAATAAATTTTGGAAGAGAAAATCATTGCCGTCTCAGTCAATTTAATTCTCCCTTTGCTTTTAGAAAATAAATAAAAATACAGCTGTAAATAAATGTGACAGATTAAATTATTTTTTCCTTTTTCACAAAACTTTTTCTACAAAAACGTGCCCAACTAAAATATACAATAACACTAAACAAAAAAAGTTTCTCTTCTTCATTCCGCCTCTCTTTTAATCTCTAAACTAAATTTGAAAAAAAGCTAGCCGTTTACTAATTCTCTCTCCCTCTCCTTTTTATTTTTAAAAACATCACTTGATTGGATAAAAGGAGAAGGAAAAGGAAGAAAAGTGGATATATAAATTAAAGAGAATATCTAAAGCTTTTAGTTTTTTTCAACATTAAATGTTTTTGAATAAAGTGCAAAGTTTAGAGCAAATAAATAAAAATGATTGGAAAAATTGATAATTTAATTTAATTAAAAAATAAAAGCTGTAAATAATTTTAAATGATTTTAGAATTAAAGGAGATAGCCTTAACCTTAAATTATTTTTCTATCCAAACTTAAAAATTTTCTAAAAATTAAACTAAAAATTTATATATTTATTTTTCTAATTTCTTCAAATATTTTTTCTTCAATCCAAACAAAATTACAGTAATCACCCCCCTCCCCTCCCTTCCATCTACAAATATAAATCCATTCCCGTCATCACTCCCTCAAGTTTTTTCCACACAAGTCTCTTCTCCCTTCTCCTTTTCCCTCCCCCTTCCTCTCTCTTTTTTTTTCTTCTTATTGCCATCCGGCTGGCTAGAAAAGCTGAGACGAGGGGACTGAAAAAACTGAAAAAACGGCCAACAATTTTCGCTGCATGAGTGGTGATGACACACAAATAAATAAATAAAAAGAAGGAAAAAGAATAAATACAAAAAGCAGCGGGACATTCAAACAAAAGGCAAAACCAACGTTATATGCTTTTGCTAGTTTTTGATAGAAAATTGAAGTTGAAATAAATAAATGGGGGAGGAGGGAGGGAAAGGAAGGGATGAATGCTTAAATGAAGTTATAAAAAGTAGAAGAAGGAATAAAATTGAAGGAAGAAAAGAAAATATTAAAATTTTGAGGGAAAAACTTGGAGAAAAATCAGAAAAATCAAAATGTTGATTGACAAGAGAAAGAGTAAATCTTTTTGATCTCCCAGTCGAGAATTAGCGAAAATATGTGAATATTCGAATTTTTGAAATTTCTGAGAAAACAATTTTCTTCAACATTTTTGTGTTGAAGTAATAATATTCGTTTTGATTTTTCAAACAAATGGCTAAGAAAAAAGTGTGAAAATAATTATATTAAAATTATTGTGAGGAAATAGAAGGAAAAAGGAGGAAAGAATAAATAGATTAATAATATACGAGAAAATCCGATTGGGCTTGGATTAGTTTTTTTCAATCTCCGAATAATTTTGTAAGAAAAAAGGGGAGAATAAATAGTAACTAACAACTACAGATCATCTACGGCTGCAAAATTAAATAAGAGGGGGGGGGGAAGGGGGAGGTCATTTAATAATAAATAAAGGAAGTAAAGATTTTTTAAATAAAAAATATAGGTTTTTAGGTATTTTTAATTATTTTTAGATATTTTTTAAAAAATAAAGTGCAAATAATAAAGATTTTTGGAAACAATTTTGTATAAAAATTGAAAAGAATATGAAAAAACATGGTTATAATATGCAAAAAATATGTAAAGAATTGAAGAAAATTGCGTAATTTAACCCTAAAAGCAAATAAAAAAATAAAAATAAAATACCATATTTCTATTTTTTAATAAATATTTGTATAACCACATATGTTTTTAATAAAAATTTATTTTTTAATAAATATTTAAATATTAAATTATTTGTTTGTCAAGATTGGGGGGGGGAGGTGTCAAGAGGGGAGGAGGGGGTCTTTTTTAGGGATTATAAATATTTTTAAAATTCCAAAAAGAAAAACGAGAAATGTACGCTTATTGTATTAATATAATAATTATTTTAAAATTAAATTTTACTCATAATTTATTTTAATTTACTCAAATCCCTACCCACTAATTTGTTTTATATAAATTTCCACGTATATTTAAGAGATCAAATTCTCTTAAAAATTTCTTATAAATACAAA